AAAAAAAAAAAAAAAAAAAAAAAAAAAAAAAAAAATTGCTTTTAAGGACTTTTGGACAGAGCCTTTGGTGCTTTGTGCTTATTTGTGGAAATGTTGCAAAAATAAAAAAAAGGAGGGACCAAGATGATAAAATAATATTACTATTATATGAATATATATGTATAGATATGAACATTTATGATATTAGCCTAGTAATTTAAATAAATGTTAAAGTAAGATTATTACTTCAGAAAAAAATATGAAAGAAAAATCCAGTCGTTCTGCTGCTGATAAAGACCATTGGGAAATGTCTTTTGAGACCCTCGTTCATTTTTCAGGCTTTTATTGTGGGACTAACATTTTACTTCAGGTTGGTCCTTTGGTTGATCTTGGTAACCTGCTGCATAGATAACAGTGAATGGCACCTGAGGCACCTCCTAAGGCCATGACAGTGACACCAATGGGTATTGCCCACCCCTCTTAGAGGATGTGGTTAGATGAAATTAATTCTCAGTGGAAAGTTTGTCAGTGTTTGTAGAATTGATACTCGTTAGACAGTTTTAATATTCCTACAATAGAGTTAAGATCAAAGTCTATTTCCATAATTTATAACAAATTAAAAAGAAAATAAGTACTGTTAAAGAACAAAGTGTGACTAAGCTTAAACAACTAATTGATGCATTTAGAACAATGTTCAGTCAGTGTCCACACAGAAAAAATAAAGAGACATTTCCTTGGCACAGGTTACAGTAACATTTAACCCACAGAGCTTTTAAATGAGGAAATTAAGAGGTGCTTTATTTAGAGCAAGGGTACTTTAAAGTGTTCATGTTGTTTCGACATAAATAACCATCTTTTGTTCTTTAATTATTCTTGGCTATTGATCTTGCATATAGATAGAATCCTAAATTGTAACCATATTTGCCACAATTATTTTAAAGTACATACTTCTTCCTTATAGGAGCAAAAATCCAGCAACAATTGGCCAAAATTCATAACAATGTAAAGAAACTTCAGCATCAGTTGAAAGATGTGAAGCCTACACCTGATTGTAAGTAAATTTAAATGTTATAGACTTTCTCATGTATTAGTACTTTCTACTGCACACTAGAAAAATTTATAGTTTTCTAAAATGAAATGTGTCTGCTTTTCAATTTGGCATTAATGGAGCTTAACCCTACTTTATGGGTTAGCAATTACTAAGGATACGTTGGAGAACTATAATATCTGGTGTTTATGTAGTTTTCTTTAACCTTTAAAGTGCTATTGCATTTGGTTAGAGTGTGGTGGTATATATAACACCAAGGTCAAGGGTTCAGATCCCTGTACTGGCCAGCCACCAAAAAAAAAAGAAAGTGTTGTCAAATCATTACAAATTATGAGGTAGGCAGAACAGATATTAGTGTCATTCATAGGATGGAGAATTTGTGGTAGAGAAAATTTCAGATTCAGCTAATTTAGTGGGAAAAGGACTGAATTCCTGATTGCTAGTCCAGTGCTTTTCCCATCATTCACTTTTTGAAATAATTTCCTTTCAGAGGCATTTCAGATACATAAGGAAAGGTTAAATTGTATTGGGACAAATGCTAGTTTTGGGGGAAAAAACATTATCTGTCTCCCTCCTTGCTTACACAGTGTATTAGCCCGTTTGTGTTGCTATAACAGAAATACCTGACACTGGGTAATTTATAAATTACCAGAGGTTTATTTGGCTTACAATTTGGGGACAGCTGCATTTGGCACGGGCCTCAGGCTGTTTCTACTTATGGCGGGAAGCGGTAGGCCACAGGCAGGTACAAACAATCACATGGCGAGAGGAAGGGGGTGGGGGAGGTACCAGGGTTTTTTTAAATAACCAGCTCACACAGGAACTAATAGAGCAACATTTCACTCAGGACCCCCACACCCCTGGGAGAGCATTAATCCATTCATCAGGGATCCACCCCCATGACTTAAACAGCTTCTAAAACTGTCACATTGGGGATTAGATTTCCGCATGAGTTTTGGGGGAACAATACATCCAAACTTTTACCACACAGCATTCATTCCTGAAGGATCAAAGCAATAAAGTGCTCAAGATGTATGGATTTAGAAATCAGACAAGATGTTGCGGCAAACGCTTGATCTGTTACTTGTTAGCTATGTAATTTTAGGCAAGTTACTTGATCTGTCTGAGCTTTCCTTTTCTCAGCTCTAAAATGGAGATAATCATAAGACCTATCTAGAGATAAGGTTGTTGGGGAGATGAAGTGAAACAATGCATATAAAGCATTTGTGCTGTGCTTATAACACAATAAGCACTAAAAATGGTAAATATGAACATTATAATTATTATTTATTAACTCAATCACTGAAACCATGAAAATACTAGAAGAGAAGATGGGTTAATATTTTTATAATAGTATTATATTTTATAAGAATGATAAAGATCAGAAACCATAAAGAAAAAAGTGGACATATTTGACTACTTTAGAAAGAACTTAAACCCTCAAGCAAAGTTGAAAGACAAATTAGGAAGGTATTAGCAATATATATGTAATTTAAAAAGCTAATATTCATAATATATAAAGAGTGCCTACATTAGAGCAACAATGGTAAATAACCTAATAGAAAAAATGGGTAAAGATTATAAGGTGCACATTGTAGCAAAAGAAATACAAAACACATATTTAAAAAATGCTCAGGCATTTGATCACAAATTGATCACAAAAATGTCAAGTAAATCAATGATAATAAATTTTTACCTTTCATTTTGGAGATGATTAAAAGTACATGGGAAGAGGGTACTCTAAGCAACTGCAAATTGGTAGAACCTTTGAAGGACACTATAGATGACAGTATCTAGCACACTATAAAGTGGGCATACTTTATTATTTAGCATTGCAAGTTTTATCAATTTTCTCTAAATATACTTATTTGAACATGCTGAAATTTATCTGCAAGGATATTTACTACAGCATTGTGCGTATTTAAAGGTTCATCAATTACAGAATTGATTAAATGGATTAGGGTAAATTTAGGCAATGAAATACCACATGTAGCTATAAAAAAAATGGTGTGTGTGTGTGTGTGTGTGTGTGTGTGTGTGTGTGTGCGTGTGTGTGCGCGCGCGCGTGCGCACACACATTTAACCACAACATTTTTGTTGTTGTTGCTGGCTGTTGCGAGGATCCTGAACCCTTGACCTTGTTGTTATAACACTGCACTCTAACCAACTGAGTTAACCGGACCTTCAACATTTTTTTTAACGTTATGTTAAAACTGCAAATCACAAAACAGTATGTTAAGTATGAAACAGTTTTGTCTTGTAAGAAATACTATTAATACAGGTGCTCAACCCAATCTGAAAATCCAAAACATGAAATGCTCCAATATTGAAAATTTTTGAATGCCGACATGGTGCTCAAAGGAGCATTTCAGATTTCGGTTTTCAAATTAGGTATGTCAACTAGTATGTATTCTGCAAATATTCCAAATCCAAAAAAATCCAAAATCCAAAATACTTCGCTCCCAAGCATTTTGGATAAGGCATATTTAACCTGTAATAATATTTAATGATATGGCGCATAGGAAAAAATATCTGTAATCAGAAAAAAATTCACTTTTAAGCTAAGAAATGTTTTTGAATTAGGGGAAATTCTACTCTTTTTTAATATTTATCTCTTAGCCATACTGAAACAGGACATAAAATGATTTTTCCATGTTTTCTTTTTTTTACAGTTGTTGAAAAGCTCAGAGAAATGATGGAAGAAATTGAAAATGCAATTAACACTTTTAAAGAAGAGCAGAGGTTAATGTATGTTTTAAGTTTATTTTAATAAAAAAATTATTGACCTTTATTTTTCAATAACTCTACACTAGGTTGTTGTATACAAAGCATTTTATTGTTATGTATTTAATATGAGTCTATTAACACTTCTCTCCTTATGTTTTAGGGTTTAGATGGCTTTTCATGTCCAAAGTGAATTTTTATTTATATTTGGACACTATGAAATCTCAAATAAGAATTTGAAAGATTGTTTTTATTTCTTAAGAAATGCTTTTAAGGCTTAGATTTATAAAATGTTAATAATGTTAAATGGAAAAGATGATGTTGAAGAGTCAGTAATAGTTAAATTTGAGGAATAATGAAAGAATATGTATTTGTTGGTATCTTCTTATTCAAACTTTTAAAAAAATTTTAGATACGAAGAGCTTATTAAGGAAGAGAAAACAACTAATAATGAGTTGAGTGCCATATCAAGAAAAATTGACACATGGGCTTTGGGTAATTCAGAAACAGAGAAAGCTTTCAGAGCAATCTCAAGCAAAGTTCCAGTAGACAAAGTAACACCAAGTACTCTTCCAGAAGAAGTACTAGATTTTGAAAAATTCCTTCAGCAAACGGGAGGGCGACAAGGAGGCTGGGATGATTATGATCACCAGAACTTTGTAAAGGTGAGGAACAAACATAAAGGGAAGCCAACATTTATGGGAGAAGTTGTAGAACACCTGCCTGGAAAAACACAGGATGAAGTTCAACAGCATGAGAAATGGTATCAAAAATTTCTGGCTCTAGAAGAAAGAAAAAAAGAGGTAATAATTATAATAGCTATTATTTGTTGTATGTTTCTATTTTGGGGACACTGTGCTAACCTCTTAACATGTCATTAACTTTACCATAACCCCATGAAATATGGTTATATTTTTTCCCCCTATCTTATAGAAGATGAAACTGAGGCATGGAGAAATTTAATAATTTTACTCAAGTAATGGAACTACAGTTGGACTTCCTCAAAGCCAAACATTTCTGCCCTAAGAAATAACAGAGTGGGCCCCAAAATTTCTGATTGTTGGCAAAACCTTCTGTGTCTGCTTCCTAGAAATATAGGTAATCCAGATCCACTCAGACTTTGGGAAAAAAAAGTCATTTTACCAGCAAAGGCCACATTGTTTGGAATAGAAAATCCAGAGGCAATAGAAAAAAATGCTTTGAGACTAGTAAAAGTTTCTCTGAGATATTTGAACTTCAACCTCATTGCTTATTTTAAAGACTCAAAATTTTGGGTACCCCAGAGAAAAAACCCTTGATTGTAGCAAATACTGAAAAAGTTCCATTTTCAGACTATTATTTTTCTGGCTTTGGTTTAGACCAGGATTTCTCAATCTTGGCACTATTGATGTTTTGGGCTGGGTAATTCTTTGTTGTGAGGGACTGTTCTGTGCATCATAGGGTGGTTAACAGCATCCCCGGCCCCCAAGCACTAGATGATCATAATACATCCTTAATTGTGGTTATCAAAAATGTCTCCAGACATTGCCAAATGTCCCCTCAGGGGAAAAAATCGTTGATAATCATGGGTGAACTTGCTTGGTTTAACAAGAAAGGTACATCTGTTCAACAGGTGATTCACTCAAGGCACACTGAAGAAATACTCATTTCATGTTTAGTAGTTTTAAATCCGTTGAGTTTAAGATATTGAGTATGAAATTTACCATTTTTATCTCCTACTTTCTCTAATAGTACATACAAATCTTCCCATGAACTTTTTGAAGTACCCTTGTATATTCTGTGTTTTGTGTAAATGAAGATACTTATTTTCAGACATGCCCTGAACATTTCTGGCCTGAGTACCCTTGCTTATCTTTTTGGAACCTCTGTTCTTTCTTTCCCCTTCCACTCCCAGCTTACCTAAATCTGCCCACATCAGATGCTACTTCCTTCTTGCCCACCCAAACATAAGTAGTACCCCTGAGGATTTCACTAGCACTTTGTTTATACCTTTTTAATGATGTGCTGTGGCATGTCAATGTCCTATCTCACCCAAAACAGTGCTGCTCAAACTTATCCCACCGACTGGATATTGGTTTGCAAATTGTTACTGGTTTATCATGAGATAGGGTAATTGCACCAGAATCAACCATCCAGTAAGCACACTGCTTAGTTGAGTTGACCTTTTTCATAGAAAACTTTCTCACTGAAGGAAGCAGAGCATTTACATTCTGACACAAATTCACGGTATTTTTGTGAACTGGAAGTTTAAGTAGCACCGTACTAGATGGCATTTGGTATTGTTTTAATCATCTGTGGTTCTTATCACATTGCCTTGAATATAGTATACGTACCATAAGGATTTATTGAGTGAATAAATGATACACCATAAAGAAAGATGAGGAAATGGTTTCCTGCCTTGGGGAAAGTAATTCAGTGGATATGTCCTATGTGGCATAGAGAATGCTATTAGAATTTTAAGTAATCTTTACATATCCGTATATAAAGCTATTGAGCTATTTTACTTTTTATTTTATTTTTTTTACATTATGAGGCACTGTGTGCCAGGCACTGACTCATTTCATCTTCAGAATAACCCCATGCAAGAAGTACTACCTACCACTTGACAGATGTGCAAAATGAGAACAGAGAAGTTTAGTGACTCATCCGAGGTCATACCTAGTAAATGGCAAAGCCAGGATTTGGTTCCAGTCTGGCTTCACAGCTCATGCTCTTAATTACCCCACTTTTTATTCCTTTTCTGATATTTGACCAGAGAAAGATCACTCAGAAAGTTTTCTAAGCCTAAAAAGACAATTTGGAAGCAGAAGTGAGATGATTACAGAAAAGGTATGTTGCCCATGAAAACAAAGGAAGGAAGCAGATAAAGAGGAGGAGGATACTTTATGAGCTGCAGTCCCTGTGAGCCTGGGGATTAAGAGAGGAAGAGGAAGGCCAAGAGAATAAACCATTATTCAGAGTTTTAAACGATTCAGTAATTTTTCTAAAAGCAGAACTAGAAAAAAAATTGCTTTAGATAAAAATAATAAAAATTAAAAATCTAAGCATCCAGCATCCTACAATCAATATTCTTTCTAGAAAGATGAAATTGAGGTTGTATTTTAAAATACTGTTTGTTATTTAAAAACACTTTTGCTGTCTTTTTTAAAAATCATTTAGTCTATTCAGAATTGGAAAACTAAAAAGCAGCAAAAAAAGGAGGAAATTTTTAAGTTAAAGGAAAAGACAGACAACATACCCATGCTTTTTCATAATAAACGAGAAGATAATCAAAAGCAAAAAGAAGAACAAAGAAGGAAACAGAAATTGGCAGTTGAAGCTTGGAAAAAACAGAAAAGTATAGAAATGTCAATGAAATATGCTTCCCAGTTAAAAGAAGAGGAAGAAAAAGAGAAAAAGCAACAGAAAGAGCGCCAACGCCAGTTTAAACTAAAATTACTACTAGAAAGTTACACCCAACAGAAGAAAGAACAGGAAGAATTTTTGAGGCTTGAAAAGGAGATAAGGGAAAAAGCCAAAAAGGCAGAAAAAAGGAAAACTGCTGCTGATGAAATTTCTAGGTTTCAAGAAAGAGTGAGTAAATATATTTCCTAAATAATTTTTAAATGCTACCCATGAAGGTATTACTTCCAGATTCATTTCAGCAAAAATTGAGTACTTCTTATGTACCAGACCTGTACATGCATTAGCATATCAAAAGGAGTAAGCCCTGCTTCGTAATTCCTAGTAGGCTATAGTCTAGTGGGAAAGATATATGCAAGTAGGAAATGTCAATATAATGTGTGAATAGTGTAGTGATTGAGATGTGAACAGAGTACTTTAGGCTGTGGATATAGTTATGAGTGTCAGAGAGGTGATAGTAGAAGTCTTGAAGGAGAAGAAAGCAGCAGCAAAGGGGAGATCTTTCCTAGAGAGGGAACAGCATAAATAGTAACTTAGAGGAGTGTAATGATGTGGTTTGTGGGAGAAACCATAAATACTTCAGTATTCTCAGGGCATCAAGGGGGAGATGGGAACAGGGAGGAGACAAGGCTGGAAAGGTAATCATAGTCCAGGCCAAATGTCTTGTTCAATGCCAAACTGACTGGCTTTACTCCATGAGCGATTTGCTTGTTTGTTCGCTGTTCATCTCCCCACCATAATGTAGGCTGCAATGAAGCCTATGTTATGTGTTTTGTTCATCCCTGTACCTTAGAGTCAGGTGCACTGTAGATACCTGATGTATACTTAAAGGAAACAAGGTTATTCCTGGGTGGTAGGATAGATTTTAAGCAAATGTATACAAGAAAAATGCTAATAAAGATGAAGTGGAATACAGTTAAGTATTAAACAAAACAAGAAATGGTACTTGAAAATGAAAAAGGGTGCAAATGAGATAGAACTGTTATAACTCTTATGAATTATGTGCATAAAGATATACAGAAAAATAACAGACAAAAATACATTAATAGTGTATATTTTAGTTCATTTTTTTAGCCCATATATGAAAATCTTCCTAAATAACAAAAGATCCCCATACCTCCTCACCCCCCAAAAAAGTAAACAGGCCACATAATAAAAGACTTAGGAAAAAAGAAAACCCATAAAACAAAATATAAAATAATATGAAAGACGTAAAACCAAACATATCTGTATTGATAAGTGAAAATGGGCTTAACTCATGTTTTAAAAGAAAAAAAGTTTTAGATTGAACGTTAAAGTAAAACAAGAGACACCTTAAAAAAAGTGATACAGAAAGGCTGTGCATATATTACATTTACATTCAAAGAAAATGACCCTCTTAGCCTTTGTTGGAAAAGGTTAATATTGAAGGAGTATTGATAGTTAGGGTCATTTAATTTTACTTGCAAACAAGTAAATTTTGAAACAAGTTCTAGTTTATTTTACTTTCTTAATGTTATCTTTTTTTGGGTTTTTTTTTTTTAGGATTTACATAAACTTGAATTGAAAATTCTAGATAGACAGGCAAAAGAAGATGAAAAGGCAGAAAAACAAAGACGACTGGCAAAATTAAAAGAAAAGGTACTCTGTACTGAGATTAATTTTACTGTTATGCTAAATCATTAATTCATAAGGTTACTGACATCAAATCTACTTTCTTTATATCTTTATTTCTTTATAATGTACTTTAAATTTCACATTTACATATTAGAAAGCATAACAGTATAATTTAAGCAACTATTGTTTGAATTCTTCTGTTTTACATTATAAGCACCTTTTTCTTTCACTCTGAATTATTTGTCTCTTCCTACTCATCATTCTTTTCATTCTTTCTATATGAACATCTACAGTACAACTCTGGCAACTACAAGCATTGCTTAATTTCACTCATAATACTCAGAACTAAAGATGTTGGTGACCCTCATGGATAAAGTAGAGGACTTACTGGTTGTTATTGATCCGAAATTTATTGTCTGGCTATATCACCGTCATAGTTAGCTATATTACATTTCTCTCATAATAGAAATAGAAATAAAATAAAACAATAGAACTAGAAAAAGTAAACTAAATAACAGCTTATTAATAAATTGATGTAGTCCGAATTTTATTTTAGCTATATGAGCACAATTAGAAGTTTCCTGAAGAGGTTATTTATTAATAGTTTTATTACTATATAGCTAATATCAAGTATGTTTTCTGCTCTCTGTTACTAAGGGTCTTACTAGTATAAAAAACTTAGTTCATATAAATTAACTGGCACTATTTTACTTCTGATTACAGGTTGAAAACAATGTTAGTAGAGATCCCTCTAGACTTTACAAACCTACCAAAGGTTGGGAAGAACGAAACAAAAAGATAGGGCCAACAGGCTCTGGGCCACTTCTGCATATCCCACATAGGTAAAAAGGAGATAGAATGGGTGTTCACTTTATAGTAATTTAATAACTACATGTTATATTTTATGTAATTTCTATATTTTATATTTTATGCAACTTCTATATTTTATAGTAAAAAATTGTTAAAGAAAATCTATATACATTTTTAATAGTTAACATTTAATCAGATAGGTTTTTTTTTCAAAATTTCCTATATAGTTTTAATTGCTCTTCTCTTTTTCTACTTAGGGCTATTCCAACCTGGAGACAAGGAGTATAGAGAAGACTATGGGATAATGAAATGAAATTGCTATTCAGTTGATGAGAATGTTAGCATACTTGGTCATACCAGGAAAGAGTGAATAACCATGTTCTTTATTTTTTATTTTTTATTTTTTTAAAAAGATGACCGGTAAGGTGATCTTAACCCTTGACTTGGTGTTGTCAGCACCACGCTCAGCCAGTGAGCGAACCGGCCATCCCTATATGGGATCCAAACCCAGGGCCTTGGTGTTATCAGCACCGCACTCCCGAGTGAGCCACGGGCCGGCCCATTATTTTTTGTTTTTAAAAGATGACCGGTAAGGGGGTCTTAACCCCTGATTTGGTGTTGTCAGCACCACGCTATCCCATGTGAGCTGACCAGCCATCCCTATATAGGGATCTGAACCCGTGGCCTTGGTGTTATCAGCACCACACTCTCCCAAGTGAGCCACAGGCCGGCCCTTAACCATGTTCTTTAAATATCACTCGCCTAGTAAGATTGATTATTGTGCTATATGTGAATGGAGAGGTATTAAGTTTCATGCGGCATTGTCACTAATATTTCCCATTTCTACTAAGAGGATATTTAACGTTTATGTTGGCCTATTACAGGTATTGATGTAAAAGTTATTTAAATATGTTACCAACATTATTCTATTTAAATACTCATAACATTTTAAAGATATTTTGTTTTTGTGATAGCATTAGCAAAATAAATTGAAACAATCATAGAGTGACATTTTTTAAACCAGACTTTTGTAATTTTTGTAACTTGGAGGTAAGTTAGCTTGAGAAACAAAAATGTACAGTGGTTTTTTGTTTTTTTTTTTTTTTTGAGTTATGAAATAAGTTAGTGCTTTTCCTAAGTTTAACAAATTGGTAGTTTGTCAGTTATTACATTTTCGTGTAATATTTTGTATTGTTTGAAGCATGCTTTGTTTTATATACAGAATATTTATTTTAAAAATATTCTTCTTACCTCATATATCCTATTAATTGTATTGTTGATATAATCTTTTTGGTTTCCTTCAGCTATTCCAAATTTCCCTTTAGCATTTCTGGACTTCACACATTTATAAAATCTTTGTGTCTTTCAGATTTTCCTGGCTAATGCAGTTTTCTTTTCTGATTTTGTCTGTCTCAACATTGAAAGATTGTTCTGAAACATCATCTGAAATAAGTTAGCTTTAGAATATTATGATTTCTCTTGGCATTTAAAGTGTTTTAAAACTGCTAGACTAATATATTTGGTCAAAAGAGTTAATTTTAAAATTTCCAAACATTTGTACCTGAAAACACAATTTAACCGACTTCAATTTTCATATTATAAAATCTTAATTCCTAAGTTTAATTAGTTTTCATCTTACAAGAAAAATATCATATACATAAAAATATGGGAAACTTGTTTCTTATAACTTTTTTCTTGAGTGTTTTCAATTGTAATTGGATACATTTAGGTTAAATGACTCAGAAATTTACTTTGAGTAGTGGTTGTCCAAAACTTCTTATTTCACAGTTAATATTCTAAGTAGATGGCTCCTAAATTTTGGAAACTGAACTCAGATTGTACAATTATTGGTGCAGAATGAGAAAACTGACATAAAAAGACCCATAACCAGAAATGCCCATTTTATTTGTTATTTGTTCTCTATGACTTTTTTTAATGATTTGAAGCAGTTTAGAAATGAAGTATAGAACAAGACAGGGGGATTTAAAAACAAAACTGAACAGCTTCAAGATACAGAAAAGCAAATGTTTCTTATGTGTTGCTTTTTTTACATATTGCTTTTTATTGCACACAAATGCAGCTTTCATTTTCCTGCATCTAAGGTGAGCATTCTGGATGACATGATTATTATGGCTTTTTATTTTTGGTTCTGTTTTCTTTTTTCATAAAGGAAGGCGTGGCAGTTCCTCTGAAGAAATCAGTCTTTCTGACTGAATCTGAAATAAATCAGGAATTTACTATATGGATCCTTTATGTAAAGGATGTAGGATAAACATTATTGATAATGTCTTTAGTTACAAGTTTATAGAAGAGATGTCAAATAAACATTTTTTTGTACTGGTTTAAAAAGTACATTACCAAGAAATTTAGTGGGAAAAAAAACACTAAAGAAGAAATGTTATAAAGCACCCATAATTCCAGGATAACTTTTTCCAAAAACATACCTACATATTTTAAAATAGAGTAAATATTAGTTACTATCCTATAATCACTTAACGTTACATTACACATATTTTCCTGGTTCTACATAATTCAGACATTATCATTTAACAGCTAAATAGTATTCAATTATATAGATACTCTGTCATTTACACTTCTTAGCTAATTTGAACTGTTTACACTTCTTAGCTAATAATGTTGAGTGGCATTTTATGTGGGAGTTAGATTCTGTCATGGATATGCCAGAAATCTAGTATGGTCAAAATCACTCATGAAAAGCCTTTTACTTACCTAAGAAGCATATTATAGTCTCTCAACGAGTCCAACATAGCAAGTTTTCCCTTCAGATTTGGATCAGATTGCTTGTCCTTGAGTTGTGAATCAGATGAAATATTTGGCTTTCCTAATTTAAGCATCATATTGATTAGAATTTTCTTTCTGAGCATGTATAGAATGTGCATAGTTGATTCCAGTAAGTTAAATGTGTGTGATAATGACTCCACTTTGAACTTCTTCAGTAAGTGAGAGAGATTTCTTAATTGTAATAACAGTGGAAACTCCTCCAGACTGAGCATACCTGAAGGGCAGGGACTGTAAGCTCCATATTTATAGAGAAGCACCAAGGACAACCTTCTATCCATACCAGCCATTTGTTAATGCAGTAATCTGTTAAAGACATGCAGGAATACCTGTGAATAAGTAGTAGTTAGTGCCAAAAATTATTCAAAGTGCTCTGGATTGTTGCGTAAGTATAAGATAACTCCAACCCACAGGCTACATTTTTAAAGAAGTACATTTTCTAAGAAAGTTAACAATTAAAATTATACCCAAGCTTCTATCAGTTAACTTGATTAAAAACCTAGTTTAGGCCTGATCCTTGAGTGGATTCCTCCCCGCCCCCCCAAGAATGCTTCATGAACCTTTAAATGGAATAAATAGTATATGGCTAAAGCAACTTAAATCTCTATTTTTGAAAAAAAACTAGAAGCATGGTATTTCATTTTTGGCATACAGGTAGTTGGAGAAAATGTTGTGTTTATTTTGCTGTCGCAAATAATGACACACCAACTGTAAAATCTGTAAGATTTTCCTAGAGAGGATTAGGAAAGTCTGAACTTTTGTAGTGTCAATAATTAACATTTATCTCCACAGTCTTGATATGTAGGTTTAGTTTTCCTATCCTTTAAACTTAAAACTGTGGCCCTCCAAAAATAAGTCTATTAGCAAATTTATACTGACCCATCCTCGTTTTCAGATATATCATCCTCACATTCTTTCTTTACTTATTTATTTTTTAAAAGATGACCGGTAAGGGGATCTTAACCCTTGGCTTGGTGTTGTCAGCACCATGCTCAGCCAGTGAGCTAACCGGCCATCCCTATATAGGATCTGAACCCATGGCCTTGGTGTTATCAGCACTGCACTCTCCTGAATGAGCCACAGCCGGCCCCTCACGTTCTTTAAAGCCAGGATTTTCTCAAAGGGGACTTGAAGCTATTGACCTTATGCTTCCCCACAAATATCAGAGGAGGATAAAAGTTCTGACAGGGATTTGCAGGCTGGATTTTACAAGTCCTGCGTGGTATTTCCAAACCTTTGGGGTTTATAGTAGAAAAGGTTGGGTCCTGTGCTACCTAGAGAGAAATCGGAGAAAGTGCTGCACAAGATTCTCAGTTGATAAGACCGTGGTTTCAATCACAAAGTTGGTCGGCTGCGGAAGAACATCTCCTTCCCCATCGAGCCAGGTCAAATCACCTCTGGGGGTTCGTTCACACCGCTCACCAACCGCTTCCGGGTCGCGGTGGATGTCGCTTCCGGAGTAGTATGGCGGCTACGGAGGATGATCGCCTGGCGGGAAGCGGTGAGGGAGAGCGACTGGATTTCCTGCGGGAGCGGCACGTGCGGTTCTTCCAGCGATGCCTCCAGGTCTTACCCGAGCGATATTCTTCGCTCGAGACCAGCAGGTAACTCGTGACCACAGCCTGCGGGTCGGCAGCCGGACCGTTAACTGAGCAGCCGTAGGGGGCTGCGCCGCCGCCCACCCAGCACTGACCGGTCACTCCCTCAGGCGAGCCTGCAGTCACCCTCACAACCCGGTTCTATAGCAGGAGGGTTTGGAAAGCTGTGAGGCTTTCGGGATCTCCTGTTTCCGCTTTTTTCCCTTCTCACTCATTTTTTTCTGTCAACTCTGAGCTTCCTTTTTACTCCCTCTCCCAGAACCTGAGTCACTTTGCCTCGTTACTTCCGAGTATAAAAGGAAAAAGTGTTTGTCGTCGTATTTTAGATAGTCACTCCTGTGCTTCCTGTTCCTCTGCAAAGTCATTAACTCGTAATTGAATGCCTTTATGGTGTTTGTGTAGAAGCGGCAGAGAGCATCTAAGGTCTGAGTAGAAATTTACTTTCCAGGAACTGTAAATCTAATGGTAAGCGAAAGAGGTTCGGCGTGGTGTTGCGTGAAGCACCCTGTTATAGTGTATTTGCGATAGCCTTGGTAAGGTCGGACTTGGCAGAGGAGTGTGATCCTGCAGAGGCTAAGAAACTGTCATTAACAGTACAAGTCTGAGGATGGGAAGAACGAAAGAAGGAGGCGATCTTTGCTCCGCATTGCTGTGTTTTGAAGTGAGGCTCCAAAGCTGAATGGGACAGGGTGGGAAGAAACAGCAGATTGTGTTTGCTCTGATCTCTCCCCCCGTTTTCTGAACTGAGCTTCTGGTGTATTCTGAACACTGTATGACTGGGTCGGTTTGGAGGAGTTTTATAGATTATTTCTGCGCACGTGGTCAGGAAATATTATGACAGGTGCTGGAATGCAGCTGAACAAGAGAAGCAAGCAAGCAGTTTCAATAGAGTTTTATGCTATATGTTAGTATAGGATTCATGGGAGCATATAAAAGGCACGTACTTAATCCACATTTCTTTAAAGAGGCCTTGTCAAATCGCTCTTTCCAAAAGAGACACTT